TGGGAGTCGCGCTCCCATGTCTTCGAAACCACCTGCCGAAACAATCAAACAAACAGAGAAACAAGAGTGAACACGACATGTATGTGGGAAATCGTGCAAAGTACAAACAAACGGAGGCCAGCCAGCAGTTTTGGCTGAGCGTGCGATGCATTTTTTTGTGTTTCTTTTCCGCCTTCTGTGACATTGCTCGCCGGTTGAGCTAAAAGAGCCTCTGGAACATGAGGCCTGTCACCTGGCCACGTGCCTGAGAGTTGGACAAACTTGGTCCGAAAAGGATTCAACCGCGGGTTTCCTGAGGCGAAACCGAGGCGTGGAATGGGGCTGCACGTTTTTCTGGAAGGAAAGTCGATAGGAGCTTCTGGGTTCTCTTTGCGTGCAACTTAAGGGAAGTTCACCTAGCTGCAATGGCCGCGCGGTCTTTGGGAACGCGATATCCCGCTTGGGAAGTCCTTTGTTTCTCGGGGTTGAAAGCAACACTCTCACATAACCCCCTGAAGATACCAGTTGCAAATGGCTGGTGGTGTCCGTTAAAGCTGCTACTGTCGGAGAGGAAACCCAGCCACTCCGCGCCTTGACGGCACTCGTAACACCGGTGGGCGGAGCAGGTGCCTAAGGTCAGCGCGACTACCCTCCAGGCTAATATGGAAGCTCCCAGTACCCGTTTGGAAGACTTGGTTCCATTTACAGAGGCCTTCTGGGAGCTTCCACGCTAGCCTGAGGGAGTGTAAAGTCCAAAGGCTCTGCATGCTTTTCGCCATCGATTTTCTTGTCAACAAATCCTTAAAGTCCTTTCGCACTTCGCACGGGGGGAGAAAACATGTTCCCGAACTATGTGGAACCTGGGCCATGTTTTGTGCAGCCCGTTGATACGCATACTAGCCGCTTCTCAGCATACGGGATGTACCCTATGACAGGAAGCCCTTCCACTGGAAGGGGTAGGTCCTTTCGACAAGTAGGCGTCATGGGTGTGTTTTAATTGGGGGCCCGCTGGTGGGGATCCAAAGAGAAGAGCAGCACCAAAAAGGAGGGCAGCAACAATACTCTGTTTCCTCTAAAGTGTTTTTTGTGTTTTTTGTCGAATCACAAAGCCACGTACGAAAACGGCAACAAGACAGCAGCACGCAACATTGAATGGGTCAGCTTCATGGTATGCCATTGTTTACAATGTTGCACCAACTTGATCTGTCCAATGAGAGTGGGTCTCCAGAAAGGAGTATTCAGGTGCCAGCTAGGGCGTTGGCACCAAGGAGAGGGCGAAGGAATGCTGTAGGAATTGGACCTCTGCAGAAGGGAGCATTTGGTCGCTTACAGGTATGGGCCAGATCAAAGATAGCCTGGTGTTAGGATGTGGCCGAGATAGTTTCGCCTGGAAGCTAAAATTGCCTGTGTGAGCAAAGACGGAAGGCGCGCTTGTGCCTGAGAAGAGAGACGCTATGGTAGTAGGATGATTCGATGCCGAGGATTTGCGTAGGGCTCTGAAGTGTAGGGTATGAAACTGTTTGAGTTGGGATTTGGGACTCAGCCGAATAAGTGAGGATAGATTGGACTGTCTGGATATAAACGTGGATATGTCTGAGAGAAGGGGCTTAGCCGCCCCTGTAGCTTGGGACAGTCTGTATCTTGTGTCTGAGAGGGAGGATCCGTTGGGCATGAACCATGCTCTAAGGTGGTTGGAGAGTGTGTATGAGGGCCGCCGCAAAAAGAGCAAGAACAAGGTGGACAACAAGATGAAGAAAACACGGGTTGGGAAGAGTTGACCGTGACTAGCTGAGATTTGTCAGGGTTGGGTGACACACCGTATCTGAGTGCAATGTGCTAGAGAGAGAGAGAGAGAGTGCTAATATCTGTGTAGCGTGTGAATGGAATCAGCAAGCAGGGCCGTATCATCAGCGTTCTCAAGGTCATGTAGGGGGTTAGCCGGTGTAAGTGCCCAAGTGTGTTGGGCGAAGGTGTCGGGGTTGGTGGGGGACGCCCTTCATGAGCGGATAAGAAAATGAGTATACCATAAAGAAAAGTAGGGGGACAGGGGGCATCCAAGTCTGACTCCCTTGTTGGGGGGAGAGTAGAGGACTTGATATTTGTCTCTTGGACATAAATAGGTGTTGTTTCGCTTGTTGAGATAACAACTTGGACGAGGGGCTTCGGAGAAGGGAGGAAGAGCAGGAGCTTGTGACCAATCAAGGAAAAGGAGGTAATGGGGCGATGCGGCAATGACCAGTCGGCGTACGAGGAAAATTGGTGTAGAGGTGAACCTGGCTTGCCGGAGGCCAAATTGTTGAGGCGGAAGTAGATGATCGACTGTTGCCGCTGTTCTGGCTTGCACAACTGACGCATAGAGTCGCGCTAGCGAGGCATATCGGCCTGTAGGAGGAAGGGGATGTTGAGTCCTGAGTCCTCCTTCAAAGATCATGACTATCTCCAAGATCCGGGGGTTGTGCTCCAAGTGAAAGGAGTATTGGTTTAAAAACTGAAGGAGCGTGCTTGTACCACTCAGATGGGATTGTTCCTCCTTGGCTTGACCCGCCTGAGGGCGGCGTCCAGCTCCCAGGCCTGGAATGGACCTAAATCCGCTTTCTTCGGGGTGAAAAAAAAGGGGGCCGTAACTGAAGCAGTGGTTGCAGCTTTCCATACCCTCTCAGCTTGGTGCCAAGGACCTCGCTTTTCTGCTGTCATGTGGTTTCCTGCAATGTCTCTGACCGCTCTAGGGCGGGAAGGTACTTCCTTCTGAGCATTTTGTTGGGAGGGAGGCGCGGATACATCATCATGTAGTTGTGAGCATATCCACGTGTGCAGGCTTGTGAGGGAGGACGGAAGCAGCGGATGCACGACGTGGTGAAGGGGGTGAGGGCATGAACTCCCTTGGCTGTGTTGGAGTCTGCTCTCCCATTCCCATAATTGGATGAATGCCCCTTGATCTTGTGGAAAGAGATCTTATGGGTGGAAAAGAGGAGGGAGAAGAGATCTGATGAGGGTGAACAGGACCTGATGCGTTGAGGGGACGGAGAGGCGAAGTGTGAATCCGTGTAGAAGTGGATGGTGTAGGGATGGAGGAAGGTGCGTAGGACAAAGTCAATGGCTTCTAACATGTACTTTGGCAGAGTTGCTAGAACCACTTACAGGGAAAGGGACATGCAAATCGAAGTGCAGAATGTCAGTATGGGCAACACCGCATTTAGTGGGATCTAAAATTGAAACGTTGAGTTGGTCCGGACACGAGCCGTCCATGACTTCTCGAAGCGGTTTGGAGAGCAAATTGGAGTCGGAGTCAAAGAGCCGTGGGGCCGCCAAATTCTTCGAGAAATATAAAAGCAGACGGAGAACTGCAACGAGGAGGTGGTTCCCCGAAAATTGACATAAGAAAATTGGGTGGTCCCTCTGCATTTCATGCGTGTGTTTTGTAATGGCCCAAGCCCCGACTGTCCTCACACCGGACTGGCAGGAATCCGAGTTGGTCTTTGCCTCTGGGCAAGTTCAACGGCAAACCTCGTGTAAAGGCCAAGATTGAAACAAAATCCGCCGACCCCGTCCCAGCCTCCTGCAGAGGGGACCGGCGTGGGATGCAACTGGAAGTGATTGGAATCAATGATAGTCCCTGGGGGACACGCCCGAACACACAAGAAGTGGATTTCCAAGAGTCCCAAAAACCGGTTCCAAAACCGGTCCTAAGACCAGTCCTGGGTGGTCCCAGGACCAGTCCCAGGACTCGTGGGACTGGTCCCAGGACTGGTCCTGGGACTGGTCCTGGGACCGGTCCCAAGACCGGAAGCCGGTCCCGGGATCGAGTCCTGGTGTGACTGCTTGCTGTGCGACCTCAAAAAGCTCCAGAAAACTTTCCGGACTGGCACCCAGGACACTGGACAGGGTCCCAGGTCGTCACTGATTGCGACCAGTTGAGGGGGACCAACAGCCTTGTTTCTAGGACCAGCTCAACGTGACTTCGGCACAAACCGGCCCGTGCGGTTATTGACGGACGAGCTGTCATCTGTCTGACTTTTCCGTTAATCCTTGTGGTAGTAGAGGAACCCTGGATCTATTCTGCAAGAGAGTCCAATACGTCGAGTCAAACCGCGCCAGACTGGGACCAGCCTGGATAGGGTCCCAAGTCCCGGTCCCTGCCGGCGACCGGTCCAGGGCAACTTCGGGAGGGCCAGCTTCAGGGCGACCCCGGGAGAGGCGCCAACTCGAAGTGACTTGGGCGCAAGCCGGCCCAAGCGGTAATTAACGGACTAGCTGCCCTATTTCTGACTTTTCCGTTAATCCTTGTTTGTGGTCGTAGAGGATCTTATAAGTGGTCCCTGGGTTTGCGGACGTGTTTCAGGACCGGTCCTTGTGACTTTTCCCTTAATGCGCCGAGGGTCGGCGGCAGCAGGCGGGAGCCTGGTTAATACACTCAAATGGAATTTTGGGGAGAACATGTCCCTCAACTCGGCCACACATCCTGCCGGCCTGCGTCGCCATTGACAGGACTCGGGCAAAGAAAGTCCAATTCAGCCTACCTGGGCCAGGAGCAACGGGCATTTCTTCGTGGGGTAGATCTCCTCAAAACTGACATGCAACCCAAAGGCACGTTGTAGAGGAATCTTGCTTTGGTCTCGAACCCTTTTCGGGGGGTCCTTCTCGAGCTCGAGCAACGCCACTTCACAACTCCACCGGAGGCACGGCTCAATTTGGCCAAGGAGCCGCGGAGGGCGGCTCTGAAGTCTTGTACTGCATCTGAGCCCCAGCCGCGGTTCCGCACATTCAGCCTTTCTTGCCATCAAGCCAAAGATCCATCCCCCTGTCTCAACTCTCCACTGAGCATCCCGGAAATGACCTTGCCGGGGTGCGAATCCCCACCCCAAGTACGCGCACGGGCCCTTTAACGCGCAACCACTGGTTCAGTTCTGGCAAGCCATGTTGGCGCCGAGTCTTTGGCGCAGCCAAACGGCCTTCGGCCTTTGGCCCTACTTCCAACGCCCTTCGTTTCCTCGTGGGATCGGAATTTCAATCAAATCGCTTTTGGAATCCTCAGGCGTCAGAGACCGCAGAGGCCGCGGCGCAGCCCAAATCTATGCCCAGGCAGAGGTAACTCAGGAGGGCGCCCAAAGCGCAAACCACCGCCTGCCACACTTTTTCGCACGCAAGGTGTTTTGGCTGTGGCTCAAGAAAAGGTACCATACCGGCACCTCGGTAAGTGGAACCAAAGACTAAAACCTGCGTAACCCCAGCTGTTTCATTTTGGATACTCGTCAAATATTGAAAACTCGTCAAATATGTGTCAAAGCAAGGATTTGGAACCAAAGAATAGTGTTCCTTTTGGTGGCCCGTTAAGCCAAGAAGAAAAGGGCCAAAGAACACACATGCACTTGGATGTTTCCAACATAGAGCTCACTTCCCGTTGGGTTCCCTTCAACACCCCAAACTGGCCAGTGGATTGCAATCCTTGACACCTACACCCGTCACACCGTTGCCACGGCTCGCAAAACAGACCAAGGCCCACGTTTCTTGATCTAGGCCTCAGTCGATTCCGGATCCTTCCTTCGGGCTTCTTTCAGGCCCCCCAAAGGCGTGACGAGCCTGCAGGGCCATGACTGCAGGCACCTCGCAAGACAAAAGCCCCGTCGCCCCCGCTCAATTTCTGCCAAACAAAACGGGCTGAGCAGAAGCGGCAGCAAAGTCTGGACTCCAAAAAGCCCATCCAAAACGTGCCAAACTACCTTTCAATTGGCTTCCTTTTGCCCGCCAGTCGGGACGGCCAAGCGATAAACTGGTTTGGCGCCACCCAATACCGTGTCGGGACTCACACCCTTGTTGGACCATGTTTAAACTACTTTTGCCTCATCGACCTTGTGACACGGATTCCCTTCGCAAGCCGAACAAAGGGGTCCGCCTCCCATGCCCAACAGGCCAACTAGATATCCAGGATATCCTGGCGAAAGCATCCGAGCACCCCGGCCCCATAGGCCGCATCAATGAAGGGGAAGAGGCCGGCTCCAACCTTGACTGACCGAATCACAGGAGGCCAATGTATCCATCGATGTGATCATTCAGCGTCCACTTGACAAACTCGAAATATGAAATTGCCAAAGGGCAACCTTCGCGGGTGCCCCAAGAAGAGCTCGTTACAATTCGTGCAGAAAGATGGCTGGGCAAATTCACAAGCATTGTTTGAGTGTCCTAATCGGCAACTACCACAAGGCGATCAAATAGCAAACAACAAGTCGCAAAAATATGCAACTCCAAAGCAGTCCATGCAAGAAAATAAGCCGAGTGGTTGCCACCAACAGCAAGGCCCGTTTTTTGGCAGAGACCCCGAGACCGCTTTCTTGGGGGAGTAACGGACTTGCCCAGGGCTATGGGAAATGGAATCCTCTTCTATACAACAAAAAGGCTGCCCAAAGACCAACCCCCCACAAGTGGGAGATTCCCTTTGTGTCCCTGGAGTGGGGATAAGCCCCTTGATCCAACCCTGGACTTGCCCATGGCTCTTTCGGCTCTTTCAGCCATCTGTTTGAAAGGCAAGGCCACCAGCGCTCCCAACTTGCCGGCGGCGGCGGAGAACCCGTGGAGAGTCGAACGGAACCTCGGAAGGAGCCCTGTTTGCGAGTCAGTCGCGAGAACTCGATGTCCAAGTCGAGCCCAATCATCGAGGACGGGGATGGGCGAATTGAGCTGAGTGACTTGGTCGTGTCTCAGCCTATTCCCTGGAGTCCGATTTCATGTTCTCCGCCCTGTCCCGGGCCTGGGGAGTCTCCAAAAGGGGGGGCGGGGACGGGATAAGGGAAAAACCGAAACCAATTTGGGGGATCCCTACTGAGACACATTCGGGCATGGCGCCCTGCGCACAGCCCATCGAGAATGCGAAACTGAAGCGGAGACTTCCACACTGACCCGTGGGGGCCCTTCCCCTCCACAGCTTTTCAACCAAAGGAACAAGCCTAAAGGAGGAGACAAAAGCCAAAACAAGGCCAATCTCTGGAGGGAGTGTTTTTGAAGGGGGGTCTGTGATGGATTGGTTAGTTGGAATGCTGGTGCCACACTGCAACCGCAGAGTCCAAATCTAGGTAAGCTGGAAAAACACCGCATTCCCACAACAGGACAGGGATGAGGGTGATGCTACCTGCTTTTCTGCTGAGATTCCCATCTGGGCATGCTGCTAGGTCTGGGTGATGCGGTGTGCTAAGTTATCAGAAAATTGAGTGAGACAATACCTCGAAGATTTACGTTGAGCGCCAAAAAGGCTTCCGCCAGGGGTGCCTTGATTCGTGGCCGTATTTCGGGTCCGTTTGGGTGGCGCCATGTCCCGGCCAAAAACAAGTCAAGTGTCAAAGTTCCCGATGCTTGACAGCACGGTCGCCTCCGATTTATTTGCTTTCAGTTTTGAACCCTTTGCCAAGCAGCCTGTGCAAAAAGGCAACAAACTTGGAATCTAAAATTTCATGCCTGCCCTTCTTCCCGAAAGCCCTAAGAGCAGACAAAGCCCCTTCATATTCCCTTCCAATGACATGGAACCCAAAAACAGTCTGCAGGTCAAAATACTTTGTCATTCCCGGAAGACGTGGAATAATTAGTGAGCCGGTTCGCTCGGGTTGATTCCCCCAAAGGGAAACCCTTGGACCCCAAGGTAGTCCAAAACACGGAACCTCGTGACCACACCCCGTCTACCCGGTTCATCCGACAAAACCAACTTGGCGGCCCCGCTCTTCCGGGAAGACTTCGATGGGCAGCACATACGTGGCTAGCCCCGGGCCCCAGTTCAGGCCTCGGCTCTGACGCCTTTTGAGAGACCGACCGGCCGATAACCACTGGCCCCGAACAGTGTCAACTTGCACATATAGATAAGATATGGGTAGTAGATAGAGATATGGACATAGATCTAGAGATGGATTGTAAGTCAAACATATATATATATATATATATGGTACCCCCCCCCCATGGACCCTGGTTTGGTGCGGTTGACCTGTATTTTCCAGTGTTTTATGCTTCTTTTTGCTTCTTGGATTTGTGTCAAAATTGGGGGGAGGGTCGTACATGTATATGATACGCATGCATGCATACAGATGTGATAAAAGCAATGACATCAGCACCTGCAATCTGAAAGAGTTTGAATGCATCCAAGAATACAAGAACAACTCAGACATTTTTAAAAATTATTAAAAATTCTGGGATTCAAGATTCAAGATTCAAGAATGTGAGAAAATATGTTCTGGGAATCTTGAATCTTGAATCTTGAATCCCAGAATTTTTAAAAATTATTAAAAATTATGGATTCAAGATTCAAGATTCAAGAATCTGAGAAAATATTTGCTGGGAATCTTGAATCTTGAATCTTGAATCCCATAATTTTTAAAAAGTTTTAAAAATTCCAGGGTTGTCCCAATTCTCTCGGTGTTCAATAAGATTCTCGGAAAAGTTTTCCGTGAAATAGTTCAATCCAGCGGTAACGGATGTTCGAGGTGATAGAACAACTTGAACATTTTAGGGGTTGACCAGGATGGATGATTCTCAGGAAAGTGGTGGTTTGTGGGCTCCTCAATATTGATCCCCAATCCAGTGGTAAAGCACTTTCAAGTGTTAGAAGAACTTTAATGCTATTTGGGTTTGGCCAGGATTGACAATTCTCAGGAAAGTGTTCTGTGTAATCTTCAATATTGAATCTTCCATCCGATAGTCGCAAATTTTCAAGTGCTTAGCGATCCAGTGGTCACACTTTCAAGTTATTGGTTAGACAAACTTTCAAGTGCTTTTGGTGAGCTTCATGTCAGCTATGCTCATGTTGATCCCTTTCCAGGAGGTAAACAAAGGCAGGTGCAACGCTCAACAATACTGCATTTTCCAGTATTTTATGAGGAGGCGCAGGATCATTGGGGGTACTATATATGTGTGTATGTATGTGTATATATAGATATACATATGTATGTACGTTCACACACCGTCCCCCACCCTCTTCAACTACCTGTCCACATTTGCTCATCTACTACCTCCACCTTTTGACATAGAATTAACTTTCCTGCGCAAATAGAACTTTAAATACAACGGTTTAGCTAGAATCCCTGTTTCGAGACAGTTTTAGATTTTGAACCTCTCTTCCCTTGAAATTTCCCTTTGGAACACCGTCTAACAAGTTCAATGTCGGACCTTTCTTATGCTACAAAAGGGCCAGAATGTAAACAACACAAATCCTATGTTTAATTTCCAAATGTTTAGCCATATTTAATATGAATTATATTTGAGATGTAGTCTCTATTCACTTGATATTATCAAAAGCAAATTGAGTTGTGTTCGTCTTAGATTATACTTACCACTTGGATTATATTTGGAAAACAACTTCCATCTAACTTCCTGTGTTATAGATTAGTTGGAGTTTAGCCGAAAATATATATTTACATGTTCATGTAGCTGCTATTTGGAAAGGATTTGCTTGTTTAAGCTGTAACTGAACATAAACACATTTTTGAAAACTATATCCATACTAAACTATATTCAAAATTCCAATTCTAGTTGAAGTAACATCTTATGTGCAAAGGGTATCATACTGGGACATTGTGGAGGACTCCGGGCTCCAAATTATCACGCTTTGGGGACCCACAATTGGAAATTTCGAGAATATAAATTTGGAAATTCTAGATTTGCCATCCCCAAAAGGCAGTAAAACCAGGGTCCATGGGGGGGGGGGGTTGCATATATATATATATATATGTATACATATTTACATATATACATATATGTCTGTCTGTCTCTCTGTCTCTGTCTCCCTCTCTCTATCTGTCTCTCTGACTCTCTGTTTCTCAGTTTCTCTGTCTCTCTGGCCCTGTCTGACTCATGGCTGCGGACCCTCGTTGATTCAACAGTGGGATCGGTAATGCACATGGCTGCAGACCCTCGTTACTTCATTTGATGAGAGAACACATTAAGGCTAAGGGCTTCAGACCAATGGCTCGCCCACGGAAAGAAAGCTGCGTCCCTTGCTTCAAGAGTCCACTCATCTGCCACACTGCCATTCTGCTCAGGCGTGGTGTTTGAAGGTGTATGAAGCTGAGCATCGCCAGCCGACAAAAGTACCCTTCCCACTTTTACCTGCACATCTCCAGTTGCGCGCAAAATGCCCCATGTGCATTCTGTCAAACATGGTCTCGTCGGCTTGCACGTCCGCCCATGTCTTGCCCTGGTCGCACTGGATTCTCCTCGACCCAAGCGAGACAGAGTGGACCCTTGCGAGCTGATGGCGACAGGACAAGAAGGCGGTGCTGCACACTGACTCTGTGAAGAGCTACAAAGTTCGATCGCCAGGTGTCCTCCACGACAAGGTCGCTCATGGCAAGAAGCGCGTCCCACCTACGTGAAAACGAAGGAGTCCCACCTACGTGAAGTTAGTGACGCACAAGGACCCCATGACCAAGAAGAAGTTAATGGTCAAGTTCGGCACCTAAGTCATCGACCAATCGACCGCGCGTGGAAGTGCCTCAAGGACCCCGTCAATGTCCATTCAGAATGCCAGGGTCGGCTCTGCTGCACTTCGTGCTCAGCTTTGTTCCGCCCAGTACCAATACTGGCATAAGAACAAGGACCTGTGGGAGCACTGCACATGCAACATTGTCCTTTGGCCTGTGTAAATGGTCGCAGTCTGAGTTTGCTGGCTCATATTCCACGCCACAGCCTTCCAATCTGAAGCAACGGCATCTGTCAAGCAAGTCCCGCACTTTGGGGCCAGGGGGGTGGCATAATGATATGTATAGGCATACATATACATATGTGTAGAAATGTGTATATATATATATATATTATGCAAAAACACAGAGAGAATCTACAATGTCGGCATTTACTAAGCTTCTTGGGCCAGCAAGCTCAGCTCAAACGCAACCGCGCCCCGCACCAAATCAGTTCAAGCCTCTTGCCAACGCAGACCCCTTGAAATGGCCAAAATCTTCCCTCAGCGCCTGGCTAAAATACAGAGCGCACAGCAACGTCAGCACCGCCTGAACGAAAATCCATCACAAAGAGAGGTGTTCCGGCAAGAGCATCACATGGCGCACGGCCCATGTCCTAACAGCCACACTCACCCTCTCCCCCTCCAATACCCAAAACGAAGCGAACAATGCCACGTCCGCGAAGCAAACCCCCGCGCCGAGTGGATGTTTTGGATCAGGCCATAGGTGGCCGCCACGGTGGCAAAGAGAGCCGCCTGCAATACCTCGATCGGGGCAACCCAACTCTCGGTTTTTTGGGAAGCAACCCTGCGTTTTGTTGTCCATTTCTTGTTGCAAGGGCCGAAGGTATCAAATGAAAGAGCAAGGGCAACTGCTGACAACAAGGATTGAAAACAAAAAACCAGAGGGAGCAGGTGAACAAAGGGGTCAAGGAAATGGGGGGTTAGTCCCTTGCACCCCGATCTGCGTGCTGTTTGAGAGAAGAAGCTACCCTGACAGAACATGGAGTCCTGCTCATGGGTTGACCCACTTTCACAAACATCTTTTGCGCTTGCAAGGTCCGCAAAAGGGACCCCGCTTTTGATTAGAGGAGCCCCAGGATTGAAAATCGCTTCCAAATCGCGGCCCCCAAGCAGCATCCATCCATCCCCCGGTGATCTTCTTTATCGCTTTTCCGTGGCCGGGTCCCCGACGAAGCCGTAGGCGTTCAGCTTCCGTGGGCCCAGTCTGGGCAGAGCGAGCACCGCCAGCCCAGTCGCCGGGATGGCGAAGATCATCCTCGAGGCTTCGGGGGCTTCAGGAAGCGAAGCCAAGAAGCTTTGGCTTCGGGTCGCTTGGGGAGGGCCAGAGGATTTGAGACGCCATGAATCAGGTGTTTCCTTTGAGATCATAGGTGGTTTGTTGGCTAACACATTACATTACATCAGGTATCGTTTCAGCTTGCACGCAAATGGGAGTATAGCAACTTCCACGACCAACTGGCCCATCCAAGCGCCCTCACCGAGTGGGTTGAGCTTCCAACTGGATCGACGAGGCAATCACACCGAGGGCCTCACAAGGGTGATGCATCCAAGCCATGCTGGAGGGGCAGATGTCAACATGGGACAACTCCAAATGAGTGGTGTTATATTGGTTGCCTCCTAAGTCCTGACCAAGAAGGGTGCCAGTTTGTTTTTGACAAAAATCCCCAGCTCTAGGATTGTCTTTAGATCTGTTCGTCATGTTCAAAAGTTTAAAGTTAAAATTGGTCGCACCGCGCAATTAAACAATGCTCTGCCGGTGCAGGCTGGGCACCAAAATCACGAGGTTGCTCTTGACTGTTCCCAAAAAACAGCCGACCTCTCCTTTAAAACAACCCCAAGCCCGTTTTTCTCCTCCCGCCCGTGGGCGCAAGTGCAATTAAGGCACAGCAAGATGGAATGCAAGGCCAGCTGGACCAGAGACTGGTCCTGGCCGAAGATGTGGCTCAGAATTTGGGGCGTGAAGATGACCGTGCCTGCACAAAGCACGCGCGAGCGAACTGACTGTCGTAGAGAGCTGAAGGGAAACCTCCAATGCGTGGTTTCAGGTGTTCGGGATGCTGATAAATCAGCCAACAGGGAAATTTTGTGCTTGCTCACACTTCCAACCTCCTTGCCCTGACCAATCCCAACCTGCAACCCGCCAAAAAAGGGTGGGTGTGTGTGCTCCTTCGCCGAAAAATGGTTAAAAACAGGAAAGGGGAGGGTGAAGCTCCCATCCGAGCCGCCATAACACGCAGTATCAAAGAGGAACCAGCTGCCAGCGGTGCCCAGCAAGCAGCGCTGAACGTCCGGGCAGCTCAAAGCCTAGCGAAAGCTGACTCCGACTCGGGGGCTTCCTTGTCCACCGGCTGTGTCTTGGCTTTTGAGGGAGCGCTTGGAACCTAAGCAAACCACCCAGCTTGCTTCGACATCTTGAGGCAACCCCATTTGTGTGTGTGTGTGTGTCTGTGCGTGTGCATCTGCAGGGAAACTTGAAGCTTCTAAGAGTAATCGAGATTGTACTCGAATTGGGAGAGGAGCCCCAAACCTTGCAGCGTGCGTCGCAACTCCAGAGCCCTCGTGGGTGTTTTTTGTTTTTGTGACCAATATGAAATTAAGACCGCATCGCCCCCTCATCTCCTCAAATATCCCTCACAACAGTTCTTCACTTTGACCCCCAAAAACTGAGCCAAGCAAAAATCGCAGGGCGGCGGAGGGGGTTGGGAAGGCGGGGTGGCGCCCTGTGTCGACACCAACGCCCAACGCCCACTGGAGCAGATCGAACGAATGGATTGGAAGACCGGCTCGGGCTTGTGATCTGGCAGTGTCCGGAGCGTGTTTTGTTCAGTTCGCCTGGCAACATGAGGGTTCTTTGTTGTTTTAGCCAACACGGCGGACCAGCGTGATCGCGACTGGCTGGTTTACAAAAGCTTGGTAAGATGAGGGTTCAAGATGAATGCTAAGTTGGTGTGGGGCTTGTTTTGGGCAGGTTCAAGATCGGCTGCGTGTGAGCTTGGCTGCTTGCATTGGGTGGATCCAAACTGGGCTTCGGATTTGGGTAGTTTCAGGCGCGTGAGACAATGGGTTTTGGGACCTTGGGGTTGATTTGTCGCTGGTTTAGGGTTGGTTCTGGGTGAGCTCTGCGTTTCGATTTGGTTTTGGGTGCAGTGTGAGTTTTAAGCTGTTTTAGATTTAGATCTTAGGCTCGGTGTTGGGGTGGGGTGGAGCTCGGTGTTGGGGTGGAGGTCTGGAGTCAAAATTGTCTTTTGACCCTCTGAAAGTGCAGGGACTTGCTAGGAGTCTAAAGGCAAGACCTCCACCGGTCAGTCCCCATTTGGTTTTCTGACCAGCCCTCCAAGTCATTTCAAGAGTTCTCAAAATTCACCTGCCGCAAGACCTGCTTCATTAGAACTCCAAATTGCATCCACCCAAAATGCGCGCGTGTCTCGCCCACTCGCGAGAAACCCGCCTCTGGCAGACTCGCTTTGGGCGTGAGCGGCTTCTCCTGCTGCGGCAGCGCCGCAACCAAGGCCAGCAGCGCCGGCAGGGCCCCCAGGCCCAAGATCCACCGGAACCTCGCGGAAGGGAAACCCGACCCGGAAGCCCGGGAGGCCAGCGAAACTGACTGGTCTGCCCATCCACCCCGGTAGCTGGAGCCGATTTGTTGGCTCCGGTTGTTTGGGTGTGTCTTTCTAGGACCCCCCCAAATTGGCGGCTTGCCAAACATGCCGTACCCTCCCTGGGAAACAAACCCAAACTGGCACTGGCAATTTGATCTGGGCCAAGCTTCTGGGCACTGGTGTCCCCCGGCAGAATCTGCAGCAGCAGCAGTGTCACCAAATAGGGCGCCACCGTTCCAGGGGTCTGCCAGAAGAAGGCCTATGGCTTTGGCGAAAAACTGGGTCTCCTTTTAGTTGTCCCTTAAAACCATCCAAAAAGAGGCTCCCGAGTTTGAGACAGACGCGCATGGCTTTGCATGGACCAAATCCACTTCGCACCAGTTGGGATGGATAAATCACCTAGCAACTGCAGCTGTCACATCCACAGGGAACCCGTCCATCCACCATCGGTTTTTCTTTCCTTAGCATTCACTTGTCTCTCAGAAATTCGTCAAAAAGGAAAGATAAACAGCATATCATTTTTACAACTTGTTTATTGCCTGCCTTCGTCGCACTCATTAAGACTCCAGACGAGGCAGTCAAGAACTAGAAGATAGAAGTGCCTGGAATCAAGGCTTTTACGTAGAGATTCAAGATTTATGGCATGCCACCTACCGGTTTAACCTCATGTCATCTCTGTATCTCTGTGGCCATGTTGCCAGTGGGCGGAAACCGGACCAATTCCGACTGCCCGCAGGAATTTCGAAGGCTTCGGCCACGGGTGCTTCCAGCTTCCCTCGCGCATTTCGAGCCAGGTTCCAGTGCCTCACTGCCAGAACGCGGTGTGCAGTTGGAAGAGTTTCGGGCCGGAGTCAGAATCAAAACTCCTGGCATTCTCCAGAAGTTTCGCAAAAAGCGGGGAACTTCTTATGAAGCTGTTCCCTAGATCTCGCCTGGCCGACCTGCTCCACCTGCCCCGCCGTGGAAGCGGTGAGCGGAAACGCGCCGCCCAAACCTCGACGCGCGTTTCATTTGGCGGTGCCGAAAGGAACCAAACAAAAGCGTCCTGATCGTTTCCAATTCTCGCAAACCTTATAGCAAACCCCAGAAGTGCTCGCAAAAAGCAAATCGCAAGAGAACTAGGAGAGAGGGGCAAGAAGAGTGCGACAAGGAACAAGGACAAAGAAGAGAGAGAGAGAGAGAGAAAACAAAAAGAGGAAGAGGAAAAAACAAGCAACCGCAACAAAGAGAGAAAAGAAGGAAGAAGAAGAGTCAGAGAAAAAGAGAGAAAACGCGAAAGAGAGAAAGGGCGAAAGAGAAAAAGACAGACAGAAAGAGGAAAAAAGGACAAAAGAGAGAAAAAAACATGAAAGAGAGAAAGAGAGAAAGAGAGAAAGAGAGAAAGAGAGAAAGATAGAAAGAAAGAAAGAAAGAAAGAAAGAAAGAAAGAAAGAAACAAAAAAAAGAAAGAAAGAAAGAAAGAGAGAGAGAGAGAGAAAGAGAGAAAGAGAGAAAGATAGAAAGAAAGAAAGAAAGAAAGAAAGAAAGAAAGAAAGAAAGAAAGAAAGAAAGAAAGAAAGAGAGAGAGAGAGAAAGAAAGAAAGAAAGAAAGAAAGAAAGAAAGAAAGAAAGAAAGAAAGAAAGAAAGAAAGAAAGAAAGAAAGAAAGAAAGGAAAGAAAGAAAGAATGAATGAATGAAAGAATGAATCAATGAAAGGAAGGAAAAAGGAAAGACAGAGAAAGGCAAGAAAAAGAGAGGCCTCAGCTCCTTGTACAACCTAGGATTCCATATCAAACGCCAGGCGTCGATTTGTTGCATGCCGAGTCTTATGGCCAGAAGTTGACGTAGGACCACATGGGCATAGTTGGCTTCAAATGGCAACCCAAAGGAAAGACACCATTTTGCGTGTACCCCTTATTTTGACACACGCCGACATGGTGAAACCCGACGGTAAGGTTCCATGTTGGAGGATTGGCAGCGGTTGGCCTTGGTACAAACCAAAAGAGCGGTCCCGAAAAAAAGATCAAACTTGGCGCAACATGATGCGCACAGTCCGAAAGATTGACGATCCAACTGTTGGACTCTTGGACCAACTACAAACACTCAAAACCTGGCAACACCTGGCAGAAAAAGCTGGCTTTTCTGGAAATCGCGCCAAGGACGAAGGAGATCTGAATGGACAGCACGCATTTTTATTTGTTGGCAAACGGACAAACAAAATGAAGACAACAAGGATCACCAATGGTGTTGGCTGGCTTTAAGGAGAGTGTAAAGGAAAGCGCCGATTTGTGGGGGTCCCTCACAAAAGACACCAAAGGAGTCATGCCACTCCAGTGCCAAAGGAACCTGCTCAAACGAGCCACGAGGAATATGGGCCTTTTGCCACCTGGGAATGTCTCTCGGCCCAGGTCATATCTTGGCTGGGCGAATTGAAGGAACTCCATTCGGCTTGAGCTCAACCCACCCTTCAGAATGCCTATGTCCCTTTCAAACAGAAGAACCTCACTTGAGTGGCCCCACCGCAATGCGATCACTCAAAAAATCACACCAACCCGGCCCCTTCCACCCCCCCCCCCCCCCCCCCCCCCCGCCGCACCTACACCCAGCAGGAACCGCGCTAGCGCCAGGTAATGCCAAAAGAAATCGGAGGCTGCCGCAGGCAGCAGCGCGCACCTGGCGAAAACCGGAAGAAAACCGGGGTCTTAACCTTAACCAACTCAGGGAACTTTTAGGAACAGGGGTGGTTCATACTGTGGATGGACGAAATCCATTTCGCACCACTTTAAAGCCATGGTTGAAACCATTGTTTGTTGGCATTTACAGGGGAATCATCATTCCAGGGTTTCTTAGGTGGCCCAACACAGGGGAAATGAAAGTCTGAATGTCCCAGACATAGTGGGTGGGAACCCAGTAGAGTCAGAAAGTCCCTGGTTGATGTTGACTGGGTGTCCAGAGCCTTCACGAGGGGAAACACCGCCGTCAACTCGCCAGGCCGAACCCGTACGGCCATTGGTACCCAACTTCGCTTGGAAACACCGATCTCTGTGTGGTGGACACTTGGAGGCGAGTTTGCAACCATCCCCTTAAGTCAATGTACACAAATATGGGATCTACAAACGTCACGTTCCTCCTTTGGATGGTGTGTGGGAACGGAAGAGGCCCAAAAAGTTGGGCTGGTTGAAGCCAAGGGCGTGGCACACATAGCGACTGGTCACCTTGCTCGGAGGATCATGTGCACCGACAAGACTGCTGGACACAAATGCCATCTTGGAGAAGCGGCATGAATCCTCCTGACCCCGGAACCCACCCCACCCGCCACCCACCCCAATGAATCCCACCCCAATGAATCCCACCCCACCCCGAGCTTGAAGTAAGTCCCGGGCATCACCGCGCCCAGCACCACCAGGCTCTTGGTGAAGATGAGCGCAGGGCGCCGGCCCACCAGGTCACCCAAGTAGCCCATGAACACCATGCCTCAGGGAATCCATCTGAAGACATATACCCTCAAAACATGGAAGCTGCACTGAAACCGACCCCCTAAAAACAATAAGCTCAGGTGATATCCCCAGCAGCATGCGGTGCTCTTTTTAGTGCTCGCACCAACCCGCAGCCCTCGCAGAACCTCGCAGAACCCTGGTGCCTTGTGGAACCCTCGTGGAACCCTCGTGGAACCCTCGTGGAACCCTCGTGGAACCCTCGTGGAACCCTCGTGGAACCTTACCTCAGGGCTGCCCTGAAGCCTATGTGGGCTGAGCCCCCAAAGCTTTCAGCTGTTGGGGAAAAAAGGTGGTCTAGGGCGGTCAAATTGTTGGTTGGGAGGGTGCATACAATAAAGTCCAAACATCCAAGAGCATGTTCGTGGGAACTCATGTACCACTTGCCACTTGGGAGAGTGCTCCGGTTTATGGCTATGGAGGTAACACCAAGTCGATATTACACTGCAAATGCATGTAAAAGGGGCTGCTCACCTCAGCTCAGAAAACCTTGAGACCCCCCCCTCCCAAAAAAAAAGAAGACAAACATGTCCACGCACTCATGGATGCTGGCTAAGAAGGCAACAAAAATACCCCTATGCACCCCCACCTTCCTATGACCTTGGGGGTCGTTCTTTCGCAAAGAGCCCAGCACGGGTGCTTTGGAGCGCTACCGGCTTTCCTCCGAGTGTAGTGCGCGTGCTTAACCCGGATTTCTCCGAAGGAATGGATTCTGAAACAAACATGCGCAGTGAGATCAATTGTGTGAGGCAACAGGGGACCTTTGCCATGTGCCCTGGAGTCCCGGGCGCCTCATAACCTGAAGTTCGCGTGTTTGTGCAAGCAATGGATGTTTGGACAACGTGCAGACGCGTCCGGGGCTCCACCCAAATCTATTGCCCGAGGCGGTTTGCTGCCAATTGGGTTGCCTGCTTCACCAATACCCCTGACTCAGAGATCGAAACGAGTTTAGAAACAAAGCCTGAAGCAAAACCTTCGTTGGGTGTGTCTTTTTGACGCTTGGTTTGAAGGAGACCAAAGGGAAACCGCCATTTCTGGCTCCGAAAGAATCGCCGGAAATCGGAGATGGAAGCAGTCGCAGGCCTGTAACGGAGCCTCCGAACACCACTGCCAGCATCATCTTGTTGACCCACGGGGCAGCGGGGAAGTCTGCCTCGAATTCAACGCAAAAATGTACGCCGTGCTTCTGAAGCCTCAAAACCCTTTCAAAAAGGCATATTCAAGCTTATTGTACTGCCGAGAAAGACGATTGAAGTGTCTTCAAACTTGCAGTTGTGGTAGAGCAAACTTGGTTGAAGTATTTCTGAGGTTGCATCGCCGCCTTGTCAATACACTTTACTCTGAAATTGCTGCCGCTGTAATGCAACATTGCCCCATAATGGATGCCACTTCGACTCGCCGGCACAGGATGTCGGCCAGGTATTCAGGAGCAGGCCGCTCTTAGCTCAACATCTCACATCTTGGCATCCACTCAGTGCCTCAATCCTGCCTGGATGCCTCAAGGCTTCGATCGTGTCTCCGATACTCAACATCCACCACAGCTCACGGTTCCACGTGTGTCAAGTTTCCATCAGGCCCTACATCATGAGGACCAGTGACAAAAGTACATCTTGCCCACGCAAGTCTTCTGTTTCAACTGAAATGAGCATCCCCACAACATGCTTGCTTTGGCCCTGCTTCTCTTTTTGAGTTCACGTATTTTGGGTACTCTGGACTTGCACATCTTGGCTGAACATGTCAATCTGTGCCTTTTCAGGGGGCGTTGACCCCCTCCCAAACAAAAAAGGCAAACACAAGAACAAAATAAACACACCGACTGGCGACTGACTCGCGACTGACGACTGTCGAAGCTGCCAATGCGGGATCCTCCATGTAGTGGTCCCCCTGCGTGGCCATAACGGCCATAGCGATGCTCGCGCCTCGGTGATTCGGTATCACTCTGTGTGACTCCTGGGGAGCTCGAACGGATGAACGAGATCTTGCACCGATCTGCCAGTTGGCAGGTGGTGTTTATCCCATTGTTCATAGCCATTATCTGCGAGACCCTGTGGAATTTTCGAAGAGAGTTAGTGGGCAGCCTTGGGAGAATAAGGCCTTTATTTTCTGCAGGCTCCTTGGCTTATCATGTGGATTGCTACGGCAGCAAAGGTAGTGAAAGGCGCGATGCCAAACTCGGCCGCGAACATCTTGAGCAGCATTACTGCAATAGCATTGATGTGGCATGACTGCAAACACCCACGGCTTCCAAAGAAATTAAGGCCGGAGCTTTGGTAGTTGTACCTGAGAAGGTACTGCTCGCAAGGAGCGATATGCCAAACATGTGATGAGAACCTGGAGTCTTTGCCCACGTCGATGTTCAATCTACATTGACTGGCAACAGTCATGCTGATGCTTGTTTGGAAGCAACGCTCTGTCTCACGAAACACGTATCACGCGTTTGTTTAACTCCCAAATGCCACAAGTCACATTTTTCCCAAGCGAATGGCAAGGAGCAGCGGACTCAACCTGTTGGCACACTGCGCCTCGACTGAACAAGCCTTATGGAAAAAACCAAGGGCCCACTAGAACCTATCGGACCTATCACCTAGAAGCGCTGCAGCATCAAACAAGAATACGGCCTTTAGCTTCCTTCTGAAGAGTGTTTTCGGGCTCTGTACCCTTGTTGGGATGGTAACAGGAAAAACCCCTCCCTCATTTGAGTGTGTCTGTTGTTGAGGGGGAAGCCAAACGGCTTCCCAACCGCTTGAGGGACCCCAAACATTGAGAAACCCCACGTTGGGGCATGTATGAATCGACCCGAAATCCTGGAAACTTGGCTGGTTAAGGGAAATCAAAAGGACCCCTGGTGGCAAACAAAAATCCACACCACCGAACGTCCGGCCAAAACAAAAGCAAACTTTCGGGACACTGGATGGAGAAGTTGCTGCAGCCGGAGGCGAACGCTCGCAGCCAACCTGGCCAGGCGGCGCCCCATTATACATGTTGTATATTTTGTCTATATATAGACATGTATATATATATATATGTTTGTGTATTTATATATATATATATATGTGTTATTGTGTATGTCAATAGATGTGTGTATATATATGTACATACATTCACCTTCCGGCGCCTACGTTCAGTGTCGCTCAACCACGACCCCTCCGCCGCCACGTTCAGGTGGTGTCGACTGGGCTTCCACTGCTCCCTAGCGAGCCGTAGGTCAGAAGCGCGACACGCGCAACGTGGGTCAGGAAGCTGACTTGGGGGAGGGGCTGGTGAGGACTAGTCGCCGAAGGCCTGGAGGTGACCAAGTCGCCAAAGCCCGCTTGGGATCTGTCAAGCGCTCAATGAGCAGCGGCTTGGACAAAATATGTATGTAATACATGCTCCGCTGTTAAGAAAGGTCCAAGCGCAAGCTTCGGCGGCTCCTCCGCTACGACGCGGCCTCACGTTGGAGGGGAAGAATTGAGAGTTTCATCCAACCAAACGATCCTTGCCTCGAAAGCTTTGTGCTGCTTTGCCATTGAGCCCGCCTCAAGGAGCCAGATTGTTTCTAGTCAGGTCGCTGGTCAAACCTTTCTTGGGCCCAGCAAGTGACTCAGTTCGGTCGCGCGCTGAGCCTTGGTTCAGTGTGTTTGCGCAAGTGGCTACCGCTGCCCTCAGTTCGCCTGAGGCAAAGCTAGCTGCGGCAAGCTTGTCAAGTCTGGCTTGCACCGTGTCCGTGAGAGCAAAACCACGGAGCCACGGAACTAGCGAACTGTGGAGCCGCGGAACCGCGGAGCCGCGATCCACGGAAATCTTGGAATCGCGAACCACAAACTAAAGAACAGCCGACTGCGAAACCATGGACCCACAGAACCGCGGCACCATGGGACCACGAAACTGCAGAACCGCGGAACCGTGGAACCGCAGAACAGCGAAACCAAGCTGCGCAACTGAGGAGCCAACGCGCTGCGGAACCGTGGAGCACGGAACTATGGAACCACGGATTCGCGGAACCGCGAACCGTGGAACCATTGAACCGAGGAACTCCGACCGCGGAACTGCGACCGCAGAACTGCGAAACAGCGAGCCAGGGAACGCGGAAACGCGGAACCGTGGAACCACCGGACCGCGGCATCGTGGAGCGCGAGTCTTGCGAAATTACACGCTAGCTTGCAGAAGTGGTCAGGCGAAAATCTCCCCAAGGGAAACATTCCAGGCAGATTGTGTGCCGTGGCTGGGCCGAAAAAAGGAAGTGGTGCTGAGCTCATGGGGCTTTGTTGGCTTCCCTTCAGGTTGTTTGTTTTGTAGCCAAGTACTGAAAAACGAGCTCAAATGCTAAAAACCGGTAGTGGGCCAACCATCAAACACAATGTCAACACCTCAAAAACAAACACAGGGGTTTTAGAACTTTTCAGCGACCATATATGTATACATATATATATATATATGTATGTCAAACTTGAACTGTGCGGATGTTCGCAGATAGACTCACATTAGGATGGTTTTGTAGCCGCAGTGAGAGGCGCACGTACCCAACCGAGGGGAGACGGTGGGATTTAGGTCGCCAGCAAGACTTCCAGCCGCAACTAGGGAAATGGGCTCCAATAAAAGGAATCTATCAAGGGGTCAAAAATTCCCTTAACAAGAGTTTCATAAAGCGTTTCCGAGAGTGAAGCCTTGCAAAAAAGTCCGAGTGCAAGTGGCCCCACCTGAACTGGCCGCTTTCCGCTCCACGCTGCCATACCTGGGAAAGGCAAGCAGGAAGGGATTGCCCCTTCATCAGGGCCCCGATGGGTTGTTGGGGACTCAAAGAAAGGTTGTGGAAACGCTCAGAAGCACATGTCCAGCAAAAATAATTACACAATCCCGTGAAATCTACACTGTCCAATCATGGGTCAAGAAATTGTCTAGCTCATGCGACCGCTTGACCCTCATATGTCAACTTGCAAATCTCTAGCGTGCAACATTTGGTTTAGTATATGCGTGGAACATGTCCACCGTGCGCCTATCAAATTGTTGGCCCGTGTCTACATGTCTCACACCAGCACGTGTCTAGCGTACATAGTTGTTGCTGAACACTGCCTGGACCGCAAACGTGGGAAAAACCGTGTTTGTTTGAAGGGGAAATGCAAGGAAGTGCAGGATATGAAGGGGAGGAAATAAAGGGAAATGCAAGGACGGGGACAGGAAGTTGACATGACAGGAAAGCAAGGAGAAATGAAGTGGAAACGAAGGGGAACTGAAGGGGCATGAATGGGGAAAGAACTGAAACAGGGGGAGTAAATGGGGAATGAAAGGGAAACAAAGGACGAGGAAATCCAAGGACACGAAGAGAGCTGTAGGGAAATGACAGGCAATGAAAGGGACATACACGGAACATGAAGCAGAAATACCAAGAAAATGACAGGGAAATGAAGGGGGAATTGAAAGGAATGGAAGGGGACATGACGAGGACATCATGGGAAATGACGAGACATGAAAGGGACATGAAGGGACATCAAGGGACATCAAGGGGAAAGCCAGTAGTAAGAAGACAATTCAGGGGTCATGAAGGGGCATGACACGGAAATCGAGGCAACTCAGGGGGACATGACGCTGCAATGCAAACAAAGAGAGGGAGAGAGGGAGGCAGGGAGGGAGGGAGGGAGGGAGGGAGGGAGGGAGGGAGGCGGGAGGGAGGGAGGGAGGGAGGGAGGGGGAGGGAGGGAGGGAGGGAGGGAGGGAGGGAGGGAGGGAGGGAGGAGAGAGAGAGGAGAGAGAGAGAGAGAGAGAGAGAGAGAGAGAGAGAGAGAGAGAGAGAGAGAGAGAGAGAGAGAGAGAGAGTCTCTCTGCTCCCTCCCCTCCCCTCCCCTCCCCTCCCCTCCCTCTCTCTCTCTCTCTGCCTCTCTGTCTCTCCGTCTCTCTGTGTCTCCTTTTCCCTCCCTCTCTCCCTCTCTCTTTCTCTCTCTCTCTCTCTGAGAGAGAGAGGGAGGGAGAGAGGGAGAGAGAGAGAGAGAGAGAAAAAAAAAAAGAGAGAGAGAGAGAGAAAAAAAAAAAGAAAGAGAGAGAGAGAGAGAGAGGGAGAGGGAGAGGGAGAGGGAGAGGGAGAGGGGACGAGGGAACAACGGGGGGAAGGAAAAAGAGAGAGAGGAAGAAGGAGAAAAGGAGGCCAATGTCGGCGGAGTGCGCCAGAGGCGCAGAAAGTGACATTGTAGCCACATGGTGTCACCCCCAATCTATTTGTCTCAACTTCCGGCAAATATAGTACTGCCAAGCATATGCCTTGACGCCCGGAAGAAAGGCGCTTGCCACCCCGAGAAAGCCAAAGCTCTTGATCCGAACTCCGGAGGTGGGCTCACAGGTCATGATTTAGCTGGTCCGCTTGAGCTTCTCGACGCTTGTTTCTTGCCATTTTTTTGCGGTTGGACGGGGCAATCAGCTTGACCCAACACCGTCACAGGTGGACACATTCAAAATTATGCTGTGCGTGCTTTGAATTCTAGCAGGTGTCAACACCGAACGCCCCTGGCGACCCCTTCTATTCCCAGATTCCCTGAACCCTCCACACCCAGCCGAATCAAGACGAGGCGCCAGGAGGCCTGCTCTTTAGTCAAGTTCACCTGGCAACGGCAAAACGACCAGGCACGGCCTGTGGACGAGCCAAACAAACACTTCCCACCCCCACCCCCGCCACCCACCCATGGTACAAGCCGACCCTGAACCAACCCCAAACAACCCTGAATCAATCCCAACTTGAGCAGGAGGAATCCCAAACCCACGTTTCCAAGCTGAATCAGCCCTAAACCAACTATAAACTAGCCCGAATCCAATAACAGCCTAACCCCAAACCCATCCTAAACCAACTGAGCCAAAGTGGGACCCACATACAATGGCGTATCCGTTCTGGTCAAGTGCTCAACCAGAAAAAAGACCACCCCCTAGAAACCGTCAGAATGGCGCGCGCTAAATCGCCTGCGAGGCCATCGCAGGACGCTGATTTCTTATGGATGATTGAACATGGCTGCGCTGAGTGCAAGAGCGCGCTTCGATTCGTCCATAGTTCCACTGACTACCCCCATTTTGGTGTGGAACATCCAATAATACCAACACTCATTTGCCCAGCTCGGACCTGGAAATACAAAGTCAACCTTTTTGGGCCATGACTGAACAGGGACCAAACAACGGAAACTAAAAGGTCAAAAGGTCGGCTTTGAACAACTGAGAACATTGTTGTCCTGGCTAGTGAACCAACCCGAGAAGGCTACCTTTCGCCGCAAGCAAAAAGTACAAGTTAGTCATGGCCCAAGAACGAGGAAAACTCCTCTGAGAGAGAAATCCCGAAGCTGAATTGGTTTCCGGAATGGAATTGCCATGTGGATATATGTCGAAGGGGGACCGCAAAAATGAGTGGCCGCTTCTTCAGGTTTGCATTTAAACCACCATGAAAGAGGTACCCTCAAAAAGCAAACACCCAGGTGGTTGACAAACCATCAGATTTTGGGATGCATAGATCGGTTTCTCATTTAGAATGAAAATGGGTCCCCATCACACCGGTCATCGCATGTGGGCCCTTGGAAGTGAATCTCTTCCCGTGCGGCTCTGCTGATTTCTGGAACTTTCAATGCCAGCCTCTCCGCGCTAATCTTCGCGTGCATGGGCCAAAACAGTCCGCACCATTTGGGTGTCAAAATGGGGGGCGCCTGCAGGGGCGTGCAAAATGGTGGCTTTCCTTTTGGCTTTCCTTTCAACCAACCTTGACAGGTACCCTCACTTCCTGCGACGATTTGCCCAGCTTTCCAAATACTTTCTTGGCCGTTTCTGGGGCCGCGATTCCTGAAACGACCAACACCCAATTGTGCCACCGTTTTGTTGTGCTCCTTCTCACCTCCCATGAAACATCGTCCAAAAGGGAGTCATCTAAGCTCTGCAGCCCAGGACGCTCTGAATTTCTAGCGGCATGGTGTTTTCCTCTCCGCGCTCGGCACGGCAATCCAACACCAGTGCTACAGAGCCCGCCCGCATTCGAAAACATTCCCCCATGAGGATCCCTTCTCTCTCTCCCTCTCCCGCTCTCTCTCTCTCTCTCTCTCTCTCTCTCCCCAACTTCATCTTGGGACATAGGCAAACCGACCATGCCTCTGAGGTCCCCAACTTTACTTGCTGGTTCTCGGGAAATGAGGGAATGACCCCTATACTATAAACCTTCCCCTATGGTTTCCTTTAAGGGAATCCCCAAACGGTTCAACTCGGTCATTCCCCACTGAGCACCAGCAAGTTTAGCAAACGCAACAATTCTGGGCGGGCTATGTCCCTTCTCTTATCACTGCCGATTTTGCTTCAAGTCCATTCGAAGAGATCCTCCCCGTTCATGTCGTTCAATGCTCACTTCCAATTTCAACGAGGCCAACCGCACTAAATGGAAAAGTCGGACCTGGATGCATGAATAAAAGGAAAAACAATAAATAGGTAAATAAATAAATAAATAAACAAAGAAAGAAATAAATGAATAGTAAAAACAAAAAAAATGAAAAGAAAGAAAGAATGAATGAACCAACGATTCAATAAAAGAATGAATGAATAAATGAATGAATGAATGAATGAACGAACGAATGAATGAATGAATGAATGAATGAATGAATGAATGAATGAAATGAATGAATGAATGAATGAATGAATGAATGAATGAATGAATGAAGGAATGAATGAATGAATGAAGGAATGAAGGAATGAAGGAATGAAGGAATGAAGGAATGAAGGAATGAAGGAATGAAGGAATGAAGGAATGAAGGAATGAAGGAATGAAGGAATGAATGAATGAATGAATGAATGAATGAATGAATGAAGGAAGGAAGGAATGAATGAATGAATGAATGAATGGAATCAATGGAATCAATGGAATCAATGGAATCAATGGAATGAATGGAATGGAATGGAATGGAATGGAATGGAATAAAAAGGAATGGAATGAAATGAAATGGAATGGAATGGAATGGATGGGATGGGATGGGATGGGATGGAATGGGATGGGATGGAATGGAATGGAATGGAATGGAATGGAATGGAATGGAATGGAATGGAATGCATATGCATGGAATGAAAGGAATGAATGGAATGAATGGAATTAATTGATTGAATAGAATGAATAGAATGAATGGAATGAATGGAATGAACGGTACGAATGGAATGAATGGAATGAATGAAATGCATGGAATGAATGGAATGCATGGAATGAATGCATGGAGTGCATGGAATGAATGGAATGCATGGAATGCATGGAATGCATGGAATGAATGCAATGACATGGAATGCATAGAATGCATGGAATGCATAAAATGAATGGAATGAATGGAATGAATACAATCAATGGAATGAATACAATCAATGGAGTGAATGGAATGAATGGAATGAATGGAATGGAATGGAATGGAACGGAACGGAACTGAACGGAACGGAATGGATTGAATGGAATGAATGGAATGAAAGCAATAAATGGAATGAATGGAATGCATGGAATGAATGCATGGAATGAATGGAATGAATGGAATGAATGGAATGAATGGAATGAATGGAAAGAATGAAATTATGGAATGAATGGAATACATGGAATGAATGGAGTGAATGGAATGAATGGAATGAATGAAATGAATAACATGAGTGGAATGAATGGAATGAGTGGAATGAATGAAATGAAATGGAATGACATGACATGAAATGAAACGAAATTAACTGAAGTGAAATGGAATGAAATGAAATGTAACGAGTGAAATGAAATGAAGTCAAGATGGAATGGCATGCAAGGAAATGAAATGAAATGAAGTTAAATGAAATGCAATGAAGTTGTTTGAACTGAAATATCAAATGAAATGAAATGTAATGACATGAACTGGAACAACAGGAAAGACATGAATTTAAATCAAATGAAATGACTGAAATGACATGAACTGTCATGGACTGAAATGAAATGCAAAGAAATGAGCGAATGAGTCCTTGTCCTTTTTCCTGAACTGCCCCTGATGCACCTAAAGCTGAACAATGCGAAATGGACTTCAAGCTTCCCGGTGCATAATCTGCAGCAAGCGAACGGCGAGGCGCTTTGCCTGCCAAGGCTCCTTCCTTTCAGAAAATGCCCCATCAAGGGCACGATCATGAGCTCGCAAATTGACGTTAACGCTTTGCGTTGCTTCCGCAAAGCTTTGCGTCCCTGGCGATACAAAAGCGATGCGCGGGAAGATACACTGGGCTGATTTCAGCAGTTCAGAAAAGTTCAAAATCGGAGGCTCGAAGAGAGCGAGCATCTCCGACCAAGCTTTTTGACCACCGAATGAGAAAAAAAAACCTTGATGTGACAGCAGGCCCAATACCCAGTGGCGTCTATGCAGGCGCTTGCACATACATATATATATATATATCGATATGTATCTATCTATATGTAGTGTGTGTGTGTGTGCGCGAGTATATACATATACATTTATGTATGTATGCAAATGCATATATATATATATAATGTAGAGGCCCTAACGTAATCCTCATTAAACCAGATAGTGGAACCCCCTCTTAAAATCGCCAACTCGTGGGATGCTTGTTGGGCACTGCTCATGCGACACAGGCGGTTTGTCCAAGAATGTTCTTCACTATGCGGACATGTCACCGTGCGTTCGACCAAAAAAACACGCTTCACACAGAGGTGGCCACACGTTGCACGCGAGGCTGCAAAAAAAACGGAATGCATCTTGTGATCTCACCAGGGCAGTGGCAAGACCCGATGTGACCGAGTCGCAACCCAAACTAAAGGTTGGAAAACAAGGTACCCGCTACGGTGAGAAGACTATTCGGGCCGCTTGCAGTTTCAATTCATCGGCTTCGGCCATCGCTCCTGGCTTCAATACAATTAGCCTGCCATGATTAAGAACTAAGCAGGAAAAATCCAAACGAAATCCTTGGTCTTGGTGAGCATTTGGACAACTGGCTCGATGATGGCTTCTACGAGCTTCTGGGGAGTTCCACTCAGTAGAGAACGTCCCAGCTCACACAGCGGCCGCCTCATAGCGGCTGAGGAAAATGGCTTGCGCGTCTCCAAACAAATGTGCCAAATTTGCACACCTGCATCTCCAGGGGCCTGTTACTCTGATCGGGCGCATAGCTTCCAAAAACCAATGAACCCACACAGTCTCATGAAAGAGTACTTCCGTAGCACTCCGTGATGCGTCAGGTTTGTTGCTGGTTTACGGATTCCACTATGCCCGTCTAATGGGAAACGCCCTTCGTTGAAACGCCATCCCCAATTCGTTGGGACTACATGTTTCAACACCGATAGCCCATGCGGCCTGCCAACATGGGAAATATATCCCATTTTGCATGTGTGTGCGTGTGCGCGTGTGCGTGCGTGAGCGCGCGAGTGTGCGTGCTCGTGTGCGTGCGCGTGTGCATATGCGTGTGCGTGTGCGAGCGCGTGTGCGTGTGGGTGTGGGGCGTGCGCGTGCGCGTGCGGGTGCGGGTGCGGGCGCGGGTGCGGGCGCGGGTGCGGGTGCGGGTGCGGGTGCGTGTGGGTGTGTGGGTGTGTGGGTGTGTGGGTGTGTGGGTGTGTGGGTGTGTGGGTGTGTGGGTGTGTGGGTGTGTGGGTGTGTGGGTGTGTGTGTGTGTGTGTTTGTGGGTGTGTGCGTTTGTGGGTGTGGGTGTGGGTGTGGGTGTGGGTGTGGGTGTGGGTGTGTGTGTGTGTGGGTGCGCGTGTGTGTGTGTGTGTGCGTGCGTGCGTGCGTGCGTGCGTGCGTGCGTGCGTGCGTGCGTGCGTGCCTGCCTGCCTGCCTGCCTGCCTGCCTGCGTGCGTGGGTGGGTGGGTGGGTGGGTGGGTGGGTGGGTGTGTCGTGTGTGTGTGTGTGTGTGTGTGTGTGTGTGTGTGTGTGTGTGTGTGTGTGTGTGTGTGTGTGTGTGTGTGTGTGTGTGTGTGTGTGTGTGTGTGTGTGTGTGTGTGTGTGTGTGTGTGTGTGTGTGTTTGTGTGTTTTGTGTGTGTGTGTGTGTTTTGTGTGTTTA